ACCCATCCAGATATACTTCCGGGTTTATTTAGTTAAAAAGAACTCAATAACTTTTTTTCCCTCTCCAAAAACGGTAAACGTACTAAACTATAATGTGTTAAACGTTAATAATGTATTCCCTGAGAAAATAAATGCATTAAAATCCTTTCTGTTTTATCGCTCTGTTCCCGATCTGCTCCGTAAATAAGATCCTACGCTACTTCTGGAGGCTAACTTTTTCGGCTTTTGATTTAAACATAAATCTAGTTTTATGTTTTCATTTCGTTTTAAACGTTATGGTATATGGTGCGTAATCTAAAGAAAGAAACGACTAAAATGCAGATAAACGTGGTTTGATCAGATTTTGCCAGACTGCTCTGAGCATTTCTAATGATGACATCAGAGAAGCAGTTTGTCAGAAAAATGTAAAAACATCAAAATTGTCTCACAAAAGTCATAAAACATTTGTTCAATATGCGTATGAGCATTCTATATATGGGTGGGTATTGGCAAAGAAGTCACGATCTGATTTCAATCACGATTCACATGCCACGATGCGATTTTGTCATGATGCATCACGATACGTGAAATATTGCGATGCATTGCGATATTTTCTCTGAACACTGTAAGAAAAAAGATCCAGCCCTTACCAGTGGCTGACTGGCTGGGTATAATCTGGATCGTGTCTACAATTGATACATAACTGAAAGCAACTGAATTCATACATAGCTGGATTTATGGAAACGACTTTTGGAGGTGTTGCCATGGAAACAAATAAAAGATCAAACTTAAAATAACAAAATAAGGATAATCAGTACGTTTACATGGCCTTAGTGGTCCTTCAAACCAATGAAACGAAAACATTCAAATGTATATTTTCCCTTTTGCAAATGACGTGCGTTATTATAATAATAATACATTTTATTTAACAGCGCCTTTCTTGACACTCAAGGTCACTTTACAAATAATACAAAAAAATCAATAAAAAGAGATGAAAATACAAAATACAGATACAGGAACATAAAGAAACATAAAAACAATTATGGATAGGGAAAAGAGCAGTGTATTCACAGATAAGCGAGCTGGAACAGATGGGTTTTGAGTCTGGCTTTGAATAAGGGGAGAGAGTCAATACTGCGGAGGTCGGGAGGAAGTGAGTTCCAGAGCTGGGGAGCAGAGCGGCTGAAGGCTCTGCTCCCCATGCTCTGGAACTCA